ATCTGTGTCGCTGTGGGCTCAGTATACAACACACACACACACACACACACACACACAGACACACATGGAGCATAAAGAGAGAAAGACAGAACAAACGACCACAATTGCAACGGGTTGCTGGCGCTGTTGGTTGTGGCAGCCCATGGCTGTGGGGCGGGGGCCGAGTGCACTCCGGACAAAAAGCCTTTAATCGACAGCAACATATTCGATTTTAATATTCATATGCCACCATAAATTCACAACAACAAAGGCAGCCGAACTCGCTGGCCATGCAATATATGAGGGCGTTGATATGCTCACACATATGCAGAAATACGTGCATGCCATGCCCCATGCGCCAAGCGCCATGCCTCATATTCTTTGATATATTGGGGTCTTTCTGGACAGCTGTTGCTGTTGCTGTTGTTGGCACTTCATGAAATGTACTTTTCGACGATGGCGCGTGCTCTTTGGGTGGCTGCAATTAAAGCACACGGTTTGATTTGGTTGGCATTATAAGCAGCAAGGCACGTGCCTGAGTTGGTTAACTAAATGCAGATTCTAAACGACTAAATTCATTGAGATAAAAATATATTTGCATTTAAATTGCATTCAGCCTAGAATCGGTGCATATTTCTAATGAAGTTTATTATTTCTGGCCCACTTGAATGCGACTCCGTTTAAGGCTTAGTAAAGGGTAGAATTGTATGTGGAGCAAGAAATTAAAGAAATGCCAACAACTACTACGACTACTGCTACCCGCTTTCAAATTGGATCAGCTATGTCAGACTGTGACGCTCATTACAGCAATAGCAACAACAACAACAACAGCGACTACAACAATGGCAACAACAAAAAGCAAAAGAAACACCAACACATGTGTGGCCGGTGCTGTTCGTTGCTGATGATGCTGACACCCTCTGCTTCCGTTGGCGTCGTGCACTTCAAAAACTTAACCGTTAGGCATATGCGTGATTATCTCTCTGGCAGCGACTGTCCGACAGTGGCTGAAGCAGCACCAGCAACAACCCATAGTAGAAGGAGAAGAAGAAGCAGCAGCAATAGCAGGCAGCCCTTCAACAATTGCGCGCTGACCCAGTTACCCGGCAACAAAGGCGGAAGCAAAGGAAACATGCTGAAAGAGAAGAGGCCGCAATATGGCAGGAGGCGTGGATGGGGGGTGAAGAGTAAAAAGGCACATGTCATCATAGAAATCAGTGTGTGGGTGTGTGTGTGTGTGTGTGGAGCTGGGCAGCAGCAGCAAGAGCAGAAGCTGAAATGGCCACGGGCAACGGCTTATGGAAAATAGAAAGCAAAAAGGCTCTAGGAAAATTCATTAAAACGCACCAGAGAGTGTCAGTGGACGGCAACAATGGACAATGGTCCGCAGTTGGGTCCAGTCGGGGCTTATCAGCCGGGGCCATATGTGCACACGCGTCGCAGACGGGGACCCAGTTCATAATCAAATATTTAGCATACTTTTTAGCAGACCATACGAGCATATTACAATAACATTTCCGGTCAGCTTGGCACACACAGAGGGATTCAGGCAACAGTTGCAGCCGTGACGTACCATGCCGTACCGTGCTGTGCCGTGCCATGCCATACGAGTGGGGGGCATTGGCCCCATGAAGCGTGTAATGCAATGATCCGCAGAGAGAACCCCGGTAAATCCCCAGCGAATGCCAGTTGGCCGGCATTTGGGAGCGTTAATGTGCCATAACGAATGCATTAGAGACATTGCCGGCATTCCAGTTGCCCCATTCCCAGCATTGCCCGGGGAGATTATTTTAAAAAATTTAATTACTCTCCTGCTCACTCGTTCTGTCAGCTGTGCAAGGCGCGTGCGTCTGCCTTGACACAGCGAAGGTTAGCTATGATGAGGAGCTGCATCACTGAAGCCGGAAGCCGCCCGAAAAAGCATGCTATAAATCCCTTCAAGCATATGGCACGCACAGCCAAAACATATGCTCCTGCCTGCGTGCCCATATAACAATACAAAGCGCAAGACCGACAGACAGACAGATAGACAGACAGAGAGACAGGCGGACAGACGGGCGGGAATAGCAACAGCTTCTCTGATATCATTACTCAACCAACAAGCCACAAAAAACACGTACACGCACACGTTTACACATATATATGTATTTATATAGATGTACGTGTGTGTGTGTGTGTGTGTGTGTGTGTGTGTGTGTGTGTGTGTGTGTTTGAGGGCTTTCGCGTTTTCGTTTTGCTCAGCCCGTGTGTGCGTGTCATGTTGGTTTTTTGTCTGCGCTTTGCGCGATTTCACTCTCCCTTAACATCCACCTCGCTCTATCTCTCTCTCTCTCTCTCTCTCTCTCTCTCTCTTTCAGCCTCCTGCTGGCTTTCTGTCTATCTGTCTGTCTCTGCCTGCGATATTATCAAGTGAAGTGCTTTTGCGGTTTTTGCCGTTGCTTTGTCTATCACACACACGCACACACACACTCGCACACACACATGCGCCCAGTCGTCGTGTTGCACACCGCTGATATATTTCAGTGTGCGTGCGTTTTGGCTTTGTTATTATTACTATTACCACATGTTGTTTTTGTATTTAAGCTAATTCTTTTATGTACATAAAACGTGCAGTCACATAAAAATAAAAACCAAACAGCAAACAGAAAACAGCCAACGACAAATAACAAAAGCAAAACAACAACACCAACAACAACAACAGTGAAGCAAAGCGCCGCCTGATGATAAGCTAAGTGGCGAATTCAAGCGAAGTCAGCATTGATAGCAACAGCCAGCAGTCAGCCATCCCAGCAGCCATCTAGTGCACCCGAGCACGCCCCCCACCCCCTCCCCCTGCTCGTGCCTGGTAATCGTATAAAGGTGCCTACTTCACACAAAATTACCCTTTTCAATTTGCCAACCGTGTGCTGCAGGAGACTGAGGCCTTCCCCTTTGTCTGCGCTGCTCGTTTATTGACTTTTTGTCATTGCTGCTAATGCATAGCAATAGCCAGAAACAGAAGCAGCAGCAGCAGCAGCAACCATCTCTCCTCTCTCTTCCTTTCTCTCTCTCACACTCACACACACACATGGCAGCAGCTTTATTTTTATAGCTCGCATTACGTTTAATGTTTGGCTTAACTTAGTTACTCTCGATGCCCGACTCTGGCTCTGGCTTTGGTTTTCACTGTGGCTCTGCCTCTCCGACTACGATTACGACTACGACTCCTGCTTCGGTTACGTCTCCGTCTCCGTCTCCTGCTCTGACTGTGTCTTTGCCATTGGCATTGTTGCCGCACTCACGAGTGTGGTAATTAAGTGTCACATGTAATTACAATACACTTATGCATGTGCCGCATGCAACATGGCTTTCTAATTAGAGTTTAGCGTCAATCTTAGCTTTTAGCATTTGCGATAAACCAAAAACTAAGCCAAGCCTCGTTTCGTTTACCACTTGCTGTGAGTTGCCGCATTTGCTGCTTAATTTCAATGAATATTCTGTGTGCTTTTTTGCAATTATTCGCCCCTCGCAAATCCCAACTAATAAAACAGAAAATCCACAAAAAAAAAATTATATATATATATAAAAATAAAATCATAAGATGGGGCTAAAAATGAGAAAACGCGCGCTGCTTGTTTATCCAAAGGCTGCACCAGGGGAATTAGCGCAAACAGCTTTACTTAAATAGAACTTGGGTCTATTTGCGGATTTTGATTAACTGAGCGCGGGCTGCTCAGTCGGTTCTGAATCGTAATTTCGGCTTGAAAAGAAATAAAAAAAAAAATAAAAATAAAACAAAGAATTTTTATTAAATTCTCTTCAGCTTTACGATATTATTTTCTAAATTATTATGATTAATTTATTTTCTTTTACAGTTGAATACAATAGAACTAAAAAGTTTTATAAAGTAA